GTGTCCAAATGGCTCCCGGATGGCGCTGCCAAGATAAAAAAACGTAGTCCGGTGCTCGCAAAGCACGCTGGTAAACTCCACAGCCTCTCCCAGGATGTACTCTGCCTATGAAAAATAGCAGAAAAGGTATATCGACGAAACATCAACAGTTTGGAGAAAAGAGGCCAAAACTGGCTCCTCAAGCTGCAGACTGCGATGATGGCCATTGCCTATAAGACCCAACTTTTCAAAAGTTTTGACCATCTATTTCTTGCTGAGAGAATTTATAACCAGTTCCACTCTGCTATCTGGAGTACTACTCCTACTATACTACGAAGTGCCGCAGAAAAGGGCGTAGTTTTGTAGCAGCTTTTGAGAAGGCTGTTAATATATCCAAGGCAGTGCCAAGGCCACGGCTTCATTAAAGCACCGAGGAACAAGCACTCCGCATGTGCCCTCTTCAACAGAAGGCACATATAAAGACGTCGTGAGTCACACCAATGAAAGCATGGTTTCAAGGAAGGCAAAATCCGAATAATTTTATCACATCTGAAGCTTTGCAAGCTCCAAATTTGTAGAGACCAAAAAGCTTTCACAATTTGACTGACCAGACATTATGACAGCTCAATGATAGCGCACGAGGTAAGGTGGGTCAATGTGCGACAGAGGATGGCTGGTAGGCTATCAGCATGCCACATGAAGTCAGGGGATGTAAGTTCTGTTTTGCACGTTTGGACAGTGGGAATTTACTCAGCCCCAATAGACATTGCGCTCTGATATGAAAAATTTAGTCAGAGTAGTACCACTTCTAGCTTTGGGTCTTTAGCAATCATCCCGCAGTAGTAGTACACGACCGCACGCCGGTGCGATGCTCATAGGGATTAAAATGGGCAGAGGTGGGGACTGAACACCAGACATCCCATGGTTTTGTAGCGTGTGCTTTCGCGCTACATTCTGCAAGCTGCGGTGCACTAACACACTCGGCCACCGATCTCCCCTAAGGAGACTTTGTGCCAATAGGACGAGGGCAAAGAAGAACTTCTCACGAAGCTCACTACAGGGCACGCAACGGAGCCTCCAAAGAAACTGCTTCGTTCCGGTGGAAGACTGCAACGAGAGGGGGAAGACAACGGCAGCCGAGACACTTGGCATGGCACCATCTCATTCATTCCAGAAACAAAACGCCGCGGGGCAGCTCAAGGGAGGAACCTTTGTGCCAATGGGACGTAGGAAGACAAAGACGTCTCACCAAACTCACTACAGGGCACGCCTCGTGGCCTCCAGGGAAGCTGCATTGTTCTGGTGGAAAACTGCAACGGGAGGGGGGAGGCGTGGCGACTTAACGATGGCTCTAAAGTACTGAGATCCTGACAGGGCTTTTGCTGAGAAAATGAGTTGCTCGCTGCCTTAGCAAAATTGTGCATCCACACGTGAAGCATAGGGCAGATCCCTGATGTTGAACTGACGTTCAAACAACGCCTAGCGATATTACAACCCGTCCGACCGGGGCCCATCAAGTATTACTTTTTTGCCATAATCACGCCGATCGTGAGCGAAAAGCCGACGAAAAGTCTAGGGTCGTGAAATTCCCACGTTATACCTCCGTGATCAAGCATGAAGAAAGCAGAAACCGCTTTGAACCGGGACGAGCCTATGCCGCGATTCCCGTGGCTCAAGTGGCCTTGCTCGGATCCACGCTTCCCGCGGTCCCCGCAGGCTCTGAGCGCTGCGATCTTTTCTCTGACGTCACAGATTTTGTGTAGTCGTGTTACTAGTATTCCCATTTGCGTGCAGTGCGGCAGCCGAGAGGAGGGGGGGGGGGGGGATGGTTGTCACTTTCATGTGCGGACCGGAACTCCCGTTTATCCCTCCAAGCCCTTCTACCTCGTTGACCGAAGCATTGATTTGCATCACCGGAATCACAAGGTTGTGTCATCATTTAGACCGCTGCCAGCTCTTCTTTCAGCTATATATAACTGCACAGACTGTTATATATTATACAAAAGACAGGCTGCCGACATTTCTGAGTGGTATTTCTTTCTTTCATGACGGTCACATTGGTCACACAAACTGTCCGCAGACATTTTTGAACCATACATATGTATGAAGCCAACAAGCTTCAGGTCATGATGTAGAACACCCGAGGCTGTGGTAAAAGCAGGGAAACGGTGTCGAAGAAAAAAGAAAGGGGAAAAGAACTTCTCAATTCTACATCATGACCAACATCCACCAGCTCGCCTGCGCACTCACAGTTTTTTCATTGAAGCTTCAGGTGTGTCCGCAGAAATTTCTGTCGTCGTGTCTGCAGAGGAACTCGTCGTATTGCGTATAAAGTGTGAGCAGTGTGACTGCTGCATTAAATATGAGCGCGATCTTCCGGATTAGTCCAGACGTCGTGTCGACATCTCTTTTAAACACGTGCGGGCACGGCAACGTGCAAAAAACGACGTGCCATTCGGGAAATCTCGGAAACCTCAAGAAGAGCACGTTCTCGCTCTTCAAACGACACGCTGCCATGTTCGCGTTTCGCATTGAAACCCGGCGAGGCGTATCACGCGTTGGAAACCGCGTTTATTTAGAAACGTACACATATTAAAAAAAAAAAAAAACGAAACGGGGAATCAACATTTAGGGTCTGTCACCGTTCGCATTTGCGTTTGACCTCCTTTGGGAACGATGAGGCACAGGCAGCACCCGTCGCTTTGATCTGTTCTAGTAGACCCTTTTTACGACTCGGCGACATCTAGTAACTGTAGCGGCCCTTACCCGAGGCCGCCATTTTATGGACATTTTCTCTGAGTCTCTATTGGAGACGAGAGTTACGTCAACGTTTGGTGAGGACTCAGATTCAGCCCCACGCTTCGTGCTCTAGAAATGGCGGCCGCCAGTGTTGCTTGATGGGGTTTTGAAAAGGGTCTATTTGAATCTCTGAAACCTACGCGAGAGAACATGAAGAGCGCAGAAATCGCTTTGAACCGGTTCAGTGCCGCAATTCTCGTGCCTCAAATGGCCTTGTTCGGACCCACGTCTCCCACAGCCCCCGCTGGCTCTATGCGCCGCCATCTTTTCTCTGACGCCAAGGATTTTGTGAGGTCGCGTGACGAGTAGTCACATTCGCGTACAACATGGCGGGAACCAGAGCGGTGCCATTTTAAGACTTCCGATTTTTTTTTTTTAATTCTAGGAGCTTTAAGGGCCTAAAGGGCAATTAGGGGACTTTCTGTAACATCTGTCAGACAATAAATCTAACACAAAACAACAATACCACACAAAAACTGTAAAAAAAGAAACACTACGCACCATCATAGAACAAATTCAAAAACAAAAAAGTCAGCTAAAAAGAGGGTTGCTTCGATACATTTAATGACACAACAAACATGCTCAAAACTACAAACTACTAACACAAGGATCTAAAATTAATATACAGATTCAGAGACAAAAATGTAAGCCCACCTGAATGGCTTTGGTACATCTTTCATACGGGTGTCGTTTTTGGGCGCAAGGGTTGAACTAGCAGATCTTAGCAAGGCTCAGTTTCAAATACCGTAAGTGCTCCGTTGCAAGTGTAAATGCCTGCATTTCAGTTTATATAGAAACTGTAGCTATATGATTTAATAATTTGCTTTTCGGCATGCAACTTGGTTTGAGACTCTAAATAACTACATAAATCCACGCAATAATTTTCAAGCTGCGCAGATATACTCCTCTGATTCCTGATGTATTGGTGTTTTGTTTTTCTGTTTCTGCAGCCGACGCTGCCTTCCTTCAGTATCGCTCTGTATGTATATCTGTGACGTTCCTATTGTAACACATGAATAAATGTAAATAATACTAACTTTACAGTTACTAGTTAAGGCTTTTGCTATTATGTATATAGCGCTAGGCATTGTTTCAGTATTTGTTTGTAAAAAAATAACAGAGTTGGAATATCTTTTTGCTTAATAAAATACCCTCCGATCATATGATCGGAGACTATTTTCGATCATATGATCGGACAGTAGAGCCTTATGCATGAAATTGCTAGTTATTTTAATAATGATGAGTGTTAAAACAGTGTATTAGACCCTTTGGCATTGCTTATGCGTTACACTCAATAACCTGTTGCAATGCTGATAAAAATATTAATTTCTAAATTATACTGCTGCGAGTTCTCAGTGATTGAATCTTAAGGATTATGCGCATTTTGCGTTGCTGCAATAAGGCTTTTAGTTTTCTCACTGACTAATTAGGAAATCAGGTTATACGGAAATGCCCCTGGTAAAATACGTTTTGATTCAGGACTTATGGCAGTAGGAAACACGCGAAGCCAATTTTCAGGGAAGAGCTCGCCGGTTGCATTGGCGCCGATGAGTTGAACAAAGTCAACTACAAAATCTATATTTAAAAGCGTAGAAGAACAACTTCAAAAACCCACAAACCGAGGAATGGAGCTAACAGCTGTGTTATTATCTAATGTTCATACGACAGTAATGCTGCTTTCATCACCAAGTAGCGCCGAAAGTAAAAGATATAATAAAGCGTTTTACGCAAGAAGAAATTTGTCATCACTTGGTAATATATCTTGACGGATGCTGCAAGTAATCAAATATTCAAACTGAAGAACGGGAAAACAAACAACGTTTAGAGCTTCTAAATGTAAATTATTTCTCGAAAAAAAAAAAAGGCGAATCGTAGACGGGCATAACGTTGCTATCCCGAGAGTACATTTAGTTCGGCTTATTTCAGCCTTTACCGCCGAATTCAGAAACCTCACTCAAACTACACTCAAACTAAAGGGCCCCTCCACTTCCTCGAGGAAGGCGCGAGGGCCGGCGCTGGCCAATCGCGAGGACGGAGTGAGGTTTCTGAATTCGGCGGTTAGTTCAAATATTTCTGTTGATGCAGTTGTACACAAACACTACAAAACTTTATACCCCTTCAATCCGAAGTGCTCAGCCTTGGACCAAGACTCCCGGTAGTAATTTTCGGCAGGCGTTAGACGGTCCGAGACGAATACCTGCCAGACCTTGCGTCAAGCTTACCGTCCTGTCTCCGAGCTGCCGTATCCTGCAGTGCAGGAATGCGGACTTCCCCAGCTGGGCCGTCACGTTCCGGTCGGTGCTGTTGTCGAAGTGGGGCCTGAAGTGGGGGTCGTCCCAGTAGGCGCTCGGCCGAGACGGGGGCTCGCCGCCCACGCCGTTCGAAGACGACGAGAACACGACGCCGCCTCCCGCTACCTGCCCTCCGCCGACAACGTGGGGCGACGGTCGCGGTTCCGGCATCAAGCCCGAGCTGGCACCCCAGCCCAGACCAGAACCGGGCCTGTCCCTGGAGCTGCGCTCTGTGCGAGTCGCTTCCCACCGGGTTGCCGCTGCCGGCGAGAACCCCAAGCTCGAGCCTGGAAACAGAGAAGAAAATTGTTCGGTGAAGCCCAGAGTGCGAGCGTACTGACCAACTTGCTCGTGATGCCAACAATACATATCCTACGAACAAAGCAATACACAATGTTGAACCCAATGCATGGCTCGCACCATACGTCACTGCGCCATGCAGGTGGTTATTGTTACTTGCTCTTTCTGGAAAAATATCTAATTCGATGGTGCATAATCGGCTCGAGAAAAAATGAAAGCCATTTAAAACTCCCTGTATCGACGAATTAGAGCGCAGCTCTTGAGGAGGAGAAGGGGAAGGGTACTGAGGGGAGGACCATACCCCTCCTCCCTCCTCTTCACCTCCTCATCCTGTCTGCTTCTCCTCTCTCCGAGCGGTGTCGCCGTCGCCTCACGAGGGTCACGTAACCTCCCGGGGGTCACGTGACCCCTATGAGGTCACGTGACGATGATGACGTCATCAGTGACGTCACCAGTGACGTAATTGAAGACGTCATCATCACTAGTGACGTCATCAGTGACGATGACGATGACGATGCGGATGCCAATGACGCCATCAGTGACGTCACTGAAGACGTCATCAGTGACTATGATGATACCGATGACGTCATCAGTGACGATGACGATTATGGTGCCGATGAGATCATCATTGACGTCACTGATGACGTCATCATTGACAATGATGATGCCGATGACGTCACCAGCGACGTCACTGATGACGTCATCAGTGATGATGACGATGACGTCACTTAAGACGTCATCAGTGACGTCACGCGTCCCATAACGCACCGCGCGGTTACGTTGACGCCGACGGCGACGCCGACGCTTACGCCGACGCCGCTCAAGCCGGAAGCGGGCGCCTAAGAGCTGCGCTCTAAAAAAATTAGAGGCGTTTACAACTGCCTGTAAAGCCGAATTAGAGCGCAGCTCTTGAGGAGGAGGAGGAGGAGTGGGTATGGAGAGGATGGTATGCCCCTCCTCCTCCTCCGTACCCTTTACTCCTCCCTCTCCCCTCCATCTCTCCTCCTCCGGCCTCCTCCTCTCCTTCTCCTCCCCTCCTCCTCCCACTCGTCCCTCTTACCCTCGTCCTTCCTCCTCCCTCCTCCCTCGTGCCGTAACTCGTGACCCTCGTTAAGGTCGTGATCTCCACCAGTGAAGGTCACCTGAAGGTGTAACTTCACGTGACCTTCACGAGTGACCGTCACGAGTGACCTTCGTGACCCTAGTGACTCTCGTGATGTCACGTGTGCCGTCATTATGGGAAACGTCCCATAATGCAACGCGCGGTTACTAGCGATGTCACTCGTTACACTCGTGACGTCACACGGGACGCCACGTGTGACGCAATTATGGGAAACGTTCATAATGCAACGTGCGGTTACGCCGACGGCAACGGCGACTCAACTCAAGCCAAAAACGGGCGCCTAAGAGCTTCGCTCTAAAATCGGGAGACGCGTCCTCCTTTGCGTCTCCGCGTGCTAGCGTCGGGCTCATTTGGAGACGCGGGTAGTCGACACTATGTGGATTCACAAGTGGTGACGTATGGGAAGGGGGGGGGGGGGAAGGACGGCGCCGGCCCTTTCTTCTACGGGGTATTGGCTGTAGCCGACACCCCGGTGTACCGGCGATCCCGCACGACGATCGGTGCAGACGAACTTGCTCGCCGTATGGCCTCCTAGTCGTTGGAAAATCCGTATTGTGGGTTCGAAAAACGCAAATTTCAGTCATGCGGCTCCCTGAGGAGGTTCGTCGTAGACAAAGTATGGATGAGGCACGAGAGGGAAATTGAGAGCGGTAGGCGAAAAATGGTGCGTACATCTTATAAATTTGGCTCACTAGGCGGAGCGGAAACGACAACGGCGCCACGATGCAATGATAGCAAATTATGCGAGCGCAGAACACTGCTCTCGCCGTGACAGCACACGCTACACGAGAGCATAAATGCACTCAGAATATTTCGTCCTTATTTTCCACCTAGAAGCGAGCTTTAATTCTCGTTATATGAAGAAAAAAAATCTAAGCTCCAAATTCTGTAGCGACGAGGTAGCGCATTCAAAAAAAAAAAAAAAAAAAAGCTGGCGTCATAACACAGAATAGAACGTTTCAGAGCGCAGCTCTAAGGCGCCCGTTTCCGGCTTGAGCGGCGTCGCCGTTGGCGTAACCGCGTGGTGCATTATGGGAAATGCCCCATAATGCACCACGCGGGACCCTCGTAACGTCACTCGTGACGTCCCGTGTGACGTCACGAGGGTTTCATGCGGTGCATTATAGGACATTTCCCATGATACAACGCGCGGGGAGGTGGAGGGGGAGGGGAGGAGGAGTAGGACGAGGGGAGGGTGAGGAGGAGAAAGGGGAGAAGGGAGAGGGAGGAGGGGAAGGAGGAGAAAGAGGAAGGTGGAGGGATGAGCAGGAGGAGAGGAAGGATATGGAGGAGAGGAGGGGAGCAGCTTGAGGGATGAAGGGAGGAGGAGGTGAAGGAGGAGGGGAGGAGGACTAGGAGGAGGAAGAGAAGAGATTAGAAGCAGCAGGGGGATGAAGAGGTGAGGAGGAGGGAGGAGGGGTCTACCCTCCCCTCAGTACCCTTCCCTCTTCCTCCTCAAGAGCTGTGCTCTAATTCGGCCTTACAGAGTGTTGTAAACGTCTTTCATTTTTATTGGCTCCATTTTTGGGCAGATTTTTTTAAAGATACGGGTGTATCGCATCATTTAGGAAGTTTAAGAAGTTAAGGAAGTCAAGTTCTAGTTGAGGATATGTATAAGGCCATTGATTATTTTTTCCTTTAAAAAAAATTAATCGTTCTAGATGTTGTGTTAACGTCTTACATTTGCTTATTGAGTAATGTAAGATAAAACACACTAACTCATATAGTGTATGAAATACATACATTTGACTTTTTATTTATTATGTTATAATTTATATTTTAGCTTATTACTCTAGCTGTTTGTCGCATAAATATATATGGCGACATGAACAAAAGTGTCCGTCAAAAGTTGTTATAATTCTTCTTTCATCGGCTGTAAATATTTGCCCAATCAAAATTCGTATTTATACGATCACCTTCGTAATAACATTGACGCAAAGCGCAGCAATAAACAAAACCAATTTAAACGCTAAGAAACGTCACGTCGGAATTTCTCTGAGATTGACAAGATAGAAATATTAAAATCAAATGCCATCAGACTGAAAAAGGAAATACTCTCCGTCATTCGGTGCCGGCTACAAAGCAAATGTTTTCGGCCCGAAATCAAAAACTAAGAAACTCAAGAACCCTGCCCCGAGCTTTCAAAAGTGACTTCGCTGCTTGATTCAAAATTACGGAAAAAAAACAAACATGGCACTTCCATAATTAAAGTAAAAAAAAACAAGAAAACAAAACAAAAAAAAACGCTAAAAATATGTAAAAGAACCAATGAAAACTGTTTCCGTTCTCAAGTTTTGACAAGTAAGAACTGCGAAAGTTTCAGCCTGATTGGAGGCAGTATCTCTCATTTTATGCTGTTCATCATGGTGCTCAAATTGAAGCTCTGTCAGCTCAACTTCGACCAAAAACTGCAGCTATCATCCACTTTTTTCGCGTTTTTTTAGTTGATCGGTTTACTTCTATATTTACTTGGGCTCGGTTAAAACCAAAACCAATCTGAGGAACGTCAAAACCGTCAAGTCGCTTTGTAACCACGTCCGATAAAAAGATATTTATTTATAAAGACATTGGAGCCAACTTCAAATATATTGCATTCACGTTTCATACAACCATTTGTAATATATTTTAAAGCGTTTCTTCCTGTATTTTCCTTAATATATTCCTGTATTTTTGGGCTATACTGTGAATGGTGAAATATCTAAAACCCTTTCAGCAACAAAAAAAAAATCTTGACACTTTTTGATTTCTAAAGATTGTTTTTAAATTAAAATATTTTGCAGGCACCCGCGACTTCATTTTGTCGATGGTAGAATATTAATCCCACTGACAGTAGGCTCATGGAAAATGTTTGGTTTCTTGTTCTGTGTTTAAATTCAAATAACGTAATCTTTTGAAAATTTTGCATTCTATCACTACCGTTTTTGTTATATTTAATTGGACGTTCAGTTTTCTGCATGCGTGGTTTATACGGGCTGAAAGCCACAGCTCTTAATTTTTTTTTTTTATCTAATACTGAAAACAATATTTCTGGATTGTTAATAACAATTATGGAATACCCAATTTGCTTTTATAAAAGTGATAATTTATGTCTAAAAAGAAAACAAAGAAAACGCCACCACTTTTTCATTAAGAAAAAACAAAACAATATCAGCAAAGAAAATACGCAGAGAAAATGCATCCACCGAGAAAAATCTGCAGCAAATTCGTTTTATATATATATAAAAAAACAATTGCTATCTCGTTTAGAAATGCATGCTTCACGAGAAAACGACAAGTGACCTACAAAGTACAGACAGGCACGAAGTGATCTGTTTCGTTTGCCCTTTCTTTTTCTTTTATATTCTTAAAGCTACAAACAATACCGGCAAAAATTGGTCAACCAATTTTCGCCGGTATTGTTTGCGATTGTTTATATCACAGATTGTATTGATTATAGTATTCGCTTTGCATTAATGGTTACGATGACCCGCGTTTCGGAATATTTGCAAATTTGTGTCATTCAATCTAGGCTGCTTGCTATATTTTCCCTTGGCACACACTGTCGTTACACAAGTCAGTGTCAGTGGATTGAATAAAGCAATGTACAACGCACTCTAGGGGGCGTCCATCTTTGAAGGTTCTTTGCGATGCGACACCGGAGGGATTATCCATGCTTAGAAAATGTCGTCCTAGGGATTATGTCGTCGGCGTAAGCTGGTCGCTGGTTAACGTAATCGTCCCAGCCAACATATAACGCTCGTTAGAAAGCTTTCTATTGCGCAGTCTTAGCTCCGCGCTGCTAATTAAATGTCGAGATATATTACACACAACACTCAGCCGCAACAGCCTCTTTGAGAATTGAAACGTCAAAGCCTGTTTTATGTT